CAGACATTCATCCAGTGTGTCAAGCACATTTGCACATATGCTGCCATCATCATTTTCAAATCATTCTCTTTCCACTTGAGCCCCTAATATCAGCTCCCCATTTCTTCCTCTTCCCTCCCCTGCCCGCCCTCATGAACCCTTCATAAGTTATAGATTATTATTTTCATATCTTGCTTCGTCCTCCGTCACCCCTGGGAAGAAACAATCTTGCTTTGTGTCGCATGAGGAGCCCCAGATAGAGATGTGGGAGGCCTGTGTTCCAGGCGAGTCATGCTCACTTGGGGAAGCCCCTGCACTTGTCTGGGCCTCCTTCCTCCCAAGTAAAGCAGCAAGCTGGCTAGAGTCAGGTGTGTCCCAGAGCGACTTCAAAGAGCGCCAGGGGACAGTGAAAGAGCCCTGGTGGCGGAGGAGTGGTTACACGTTGGCTGCCAGCCTTAAGGTCAGCCGAATGAAACCACCAGTCACTCTGAGGGAGCAGGATGAGCCTCTCTATCGTCATGAAGTTACCATCTCAGTAAACTCACAGGGGCAGTTCTACTCTGTCTTAGAGGGTTGCTATGAGTCTCAACTGACTCAATGGCAATGCGTTTGGTTTTTGGTTTTCTAGGCTATAGTAAATATTCAACTGCTAGCCACAAGGTCAAGGGTTCAAACTCACCAGCCACTCAAAGGGAGACAAATGAGGCTGTCTGCTCCCATGACGATGTACAGCTTTGGAAACCTTGCATAGGGTTGCCATGCATTAGAATCGGCTCATTGGCAGTGGGTTTAGCTAGAGTATAGTGGATATGCATCTGGAGTTTACAAACTTTTTTTTTGGTTTTATTTATTTATTTTTTTCTCTCTTTTTTAACATTTTATTAGGGGCTCATACAACTGTTATCCCAATCCATACACACATCAATTGTGTAAAGCGCATTTGTACATCGTTTCTCAAAACATTTTCTCTCCATTTAAACCCCCGACATTGGGTCCTAATTTTTCCCCTCCCTCCCTGCTCCCCCCTCCCGCATGAACCCTTGATAGTTTATAAATGGGTATTTTGTCATATCTTGCCCTGTCCGACGTCTCCCTTCATCCACTTTTCGGTTGTCTGTCCCCCAGGGAGGAGGTCACACACAGTTCCATGTAATCGGTTCCCTCTTTCCTACCCATTCTCCCTTTACCCTCCCTGTTTTGCCACTCACACCACTGGTCCTATAGGGCTCATCCGTCCTGGATTCCCTGTATTTTCAGTTCCTATCTGTACCAGTGTACATCCTCTGGTCTATTTAACTTTCTAGACTTTAAAACTTCTAATGAGTCAGCGTGCACAGCCTGTTTGTTATATGCCCAAAGTATTAGAGACCACAGATGAATCAGTAAATTCAGCTGCCAGGTGAGCTCAGTCTGGAGAAAAGTTCTGAATAAAGCCCTGGAAGGAACCCTGGTGGGGTAGTGGTTATGAGTTTGGCTTCAATATGCATGGTTGGCTATTTGAAACCACCAGCAACTCCTGAGGAGATAGACTGGGCTTTCTACTCCATCCACAGTGGGCTTCCCTGAGCCAGCATTGACTTGATGGCAATGAGATAAGTTGAGAGTATCAGCCTTGGTGGCATAGTGGTTACAGGTTGGGCTGCTAACTGCAAGGTGGGCAGTTTGAAACCACCAACTGCTCTAAGGGAGAAAGATAAGGCTTTCTATTCTTGCAAAGAGTTTTAGTCTGGGAAATTCACAGGGCAGTCCTGTCCTGCCTGCCCTATGGGGGTCACCATGAGTTGGTATTGGCTCCACAGCAGTGATTGGGCTTTTTGGTTTTACATATACTCAACAATGAATATATGACTACTGCAGGGCAAGCTGTTTACAGCAAGCAAGCCACCACGCCCAGATTCTAGGGAGGGGACACAGACCTTGCCTTAGTGTGTGTATGTGAAGTAGTGTGTACACAGGTGTGCAGACTACCATGACTTCAGGAGAGTCGGATCTTGTCACTGCTGTGCAGTCCAACACCTAATTCCATCCTGCGCCTGTGTAAGTGCAACTGTCAGAGGTCACCCTGGCTTAGATGGCTTTTTAATTCACCAAGCCACTTCATCGTTCTCATCAACTTCATGCTAATCAACTACAAAGTCCAACTTCCACTTGTATTTTAATGATTAGTAGTAAGATTTTCTTTAAGGAAAAAAAGGTCTGATATTAAAAGGTTTGGAAACTACAGGACTGAATAGTCTACAGGATTTTGCACGTGTGTGTGTGTGCTGTACATTCTGTGTGTTTCTGTGTGTGTGTGTGTGTGAATTGTGGGGAGGAAGCACTGAGTGACCCTCTAGGGCTTTGTTTCAGGAACAGAATTCCACGTTGAATTGCTCTTATTTCAGCAACTTAAAATTCTTTAATATTTAGTATTACATGTGCCCCTACCCCCCCACCCCCAGAAAATGCTTCCCACTTGACTCTGACCAAGCCTTCCTGCAGTATCCCTTGGTCCTCTCGGACATGTACCCCAATGGGCTGTCTCGACACTGTGTCCCTAGCACCCAGGCAGGGTAAGGCCTCTAACATGAGCTTAATACTCTGGGTGCCTCTTAATTGGCCCTCTTCTGCTTCCCCTTGATAGGCAACTGCACTTATCAGGGAAGTTGAGTCAGAAGCCAAGAAACTTGAGTACTTGTCATCATTCTCCACCATTAGTTGTTCGTAGCTTTGGATAAAATTTCTCTACAACTTTCTCATTTGCTTTTTTAGGACCAGCGCTATGCCCCAATGTGTGGATAGGATAAGGCTCTGTAATGGACGCAGGAACACACCTAACATTTTAAATAATTGCTTCCATTTGGATATTTCTTACTCACTTTGATTTTGTTTAAGTCAAACAAGCTAGAATCTCCTTCCAGGATGGGAGACTTGAATCAGGTACCAATCATCTGAGAATCATAAATTGGCTGCCCCTCCACATGCACCTGGTCCCTTGGACCACACGCCTCTTCATGGGTCCCACACATGCTATTCATTGTGTTCCCTCCAGGTGAAGCTGCTCCTCACCCAAACACCCACCCCTTGGCCCTCTTTCCCTCCTAATCAGGTCCTCGCCCCCTCAGCTCTTCTTTGCCATGTTTACTTCTTTTTGGAAGCTTTGCCAAATGTGGTAGTTACATAATCTGGTGCCAACTCGACACTATTAAGATGGAGTTTAGCCTGTCGATGATCAGGTCACAGGTTGAGGACCTCCTCTGGAGGCGCTACAGAAATAAATAGCTCACTGGAGGCCAGACCCACACTCTCCCTGTGAGACAATCCTGTTGACAAGCCACATGGAGCTATGCTGATGATAGCCAGAACCCTGGAGCTGATGGAGCCACGTGGACACCCACGCTAGCGCTAAGATGCTTCCAACGCCTCTGGATCCACAAGACTTTCCACCCACTGGCCTGTGATCTTCCTACATGCTGCATCATTGCATGTGTTGTATGAGTCTGAAGATGAATTTGTAGATTGGTATCAGACATATAGGCTAATATGGAACTTATAGACTTTATCTGTACTGGGCTGGGATGTTTTCTCAATATTCAATTGTTCTTTGATATAAAGTTCGCTATTACAACTATACGAGTGTCTATGAATTTGTTTCTCTAGTCAACCCAGACTAATACACCATGCCAACCAAGACCACCACCTTCCTCCCTTGGCTTCCACATGACCTTGGCTCCTGGTATCCCCCTTGCTGTGTTTCTCCCTTTTCTCTCTCTGCTGGATCCTCAGTCTGCTCACCACTGACTCCCATTCCTGTTGACCTGTTCCTGGCATGTGGCCTCCCCACTGAACTTGGGCTTTGCAGAGTGCAAACACATGGGGACCTTGATGCCAGAGTGAGGATGCAGGCTCTTGGTGGGGGACAGAAGCAGCCTTTTGCTCCTAGTGAGTTCCTCTCGCAGACTGTATGCTCCCTCCAGTCCTCACACACTATGATTTCTGCCCTTCATCCCTTGATCCTATCACAGAGAGGCCTAGGGAGCACAGAGGGGAGACAGGACCATTCAAGGGGTCGGGAAAGGGGCTGGTGGTGGGAAAGGAGTGGTGTGTGCGCCCCACTTGAACTCTGACCCCTTGGGCTAATATCACGTGCCCCTCTCCCCAGGTCTGAGACCTCATAAAGAACAAACAGGTTTGGGGACCCAATACAACCTTTAATTCCAAGCAGTCCCCCACCCCCAGCATCAGCACACACAGTGGAAAGACATGCCAGGGTCTGGGCAGCAACAACACCCCGACCTGGGCAATATATATATATATATATATATATAATCATATACACATATGTATTTGTAGAGAAGGAGAGCTGAGTGTGGCTAGGGCAAGGCAGAGTGTCAGGTAAAGAAAGCGGCTGGCGGTGCCCCAATCAATTACATTCTTTAGAGAGAATTGTGTGGAATGCATGGTTATAGGTGGGGCTTAGTAGCCAGGACACTCAGCAAGATCCTTGTAGTCTGGCCTCTTGGTTCCTTCTAGGGAGCCGAGAAGACCTGGTTCGGTGCAGTACCTGGTTGGTGCCAGGAGACGGGAACTCTAGCCAGCTTTGCCTGGAGGCTAGCAGAGGGCTGGGATGTCACAGAGGCGGCAGTCCCACTCAAAGCCAAGGCTTCAAGGGGAAGCCAGAGAACAGAGCAAAGGGCTCTTAAAGCTTGAGGGTTACGAATTGACAACAGGGGAGGGGCAGCTGACCTCCCTGCAGGTGGTCAAAACTCTTGCTGGCTCCTTTGAGAGCCCAAGAAGCAGGCATGGCAGGGGCAGGGGATGCTGGCAGAAGGAGGGGTGGCCAAGTGCTTGGGCATGGGTGGACAGGGCCCTGTCTGGGTGCTGCCCACCAGCTCCCAGCAGGGTAAGGTGACCAGACATCCCGCTTTTGGCGGGACAGTCCCAATTTTTAATAATTTTTCCCACGTCCCGTGGTGTTTTTTAAAAGTCCCGATTTTTGGAAAGAATGCACGACAAGCTAGGGTATATGTTTTTGGCTGCCATGTGGCTATTTCGCCAGGATATGAGTTTTATCAATGGTGTCCCGCTTTACCAATGTTAAAATCTGGTCACCTTACAGCAGGGCCATACCCACTCCTGGTTCACAACAGCTGACAGGGTGCTGATTAGTGAGCCCCCCACTTCGGTTTCCCCTCACCCTCCTCTGGGAACCTTCCTGTGGGGTGAGAGGTAGGGAGAGGGCACAAGCATTAAGTCTCTGTGTGCTAGAGTCCAGGCTGGGCTGCCCTGTGCAGTGAGAAGAGAGGGTGGCAAAAGCAGGGAAGTAGGTCCGTCCCCGCTTCCCGGCCCAAATGCAGAGGTCTTGGCCTCCCTTCTACCTGGGGAATAGAGCCAATTCCAGCCCTAGCCCACCGCCCTACTCCCCCAAGAGACAATTGCCCGCGCCCGCCAGGAGAAGAGGGCACTTTGGGATCTCAGGACCCCAGCTCTGCCCAGAGTCCGGAAGAAGCAGGGGCAGGGCTGCTCGGGCCAGTCAGAAGAGAGAGGCCTTTTTCTTGAGTTCATTCCGCTTCCACAGAGCCAGCTTGCCAAACTCTTGAGGAGACATGGCGAATACTCTGGAAAAGTCCTCCGCTGAGAGATGTCTCTGTGGGAGGACAGAGACACAGCGGGTGAGGAGCTGTGCGGAGTGACCAAGAGGAATCTCAAAGAGGAGGCCCCTCGCCTCTCCCACCAGGCCGGCACAATGCCCACTGACCGCCCGCCCGCCCAGCACCCACCCGGAGCCACCTCCCCATACCTCCAGCCGCATGCGATCCACACCAGGAGGCAACTTGGTCCGCCCCTTGTTGGTCACCACCAGCATCTCATAGGGATAGATCTGGGGGGAGGGGAAATGCCAGGCTCCTCCAGGCCCCCTTTCATCATAACCCCCGCAAAGCCTCCGCAAAGCCCCTTTCTCAGCCTGCAAGGCACATCTGGGGTGCATGCCATTCTTCCACCGTTCCCTCCCCACACCCTTATTGCCATCCGTCCATCATCAACTCCAGGAGGCCCCTCTGTACATTCAACCTCCCTGGTTCCTCCCTCCCCCGGCCCCCACCCAGGAGAGAGAGGGTCAAGCCCTTATGCTCCAAAGCTTGTTCCCTGCCCCCCCCTACCCCTCACCTTCCGCTCCAGCACACAGGGCAGGGAGTTCCCCCGGTCCATCCTCCCCCTCTGGCCCTCTCCGTTCTGGGGAGACCAAAGCCGCAGTGAGCCAGAGTGGGGTGGGGAGACCTGCCCAGCCTGACCCTGGGCGGCTGCCTTCTGCACCAGGCAACGCCACTCCCGCCCTCCCCCTGCCTGTCCCTGGCTTGTGGTGCTCCTGTGTGTCCGGCTGTTGCCCTCCGGAAGCCACTCACCTGCAGACCTGTGAAGGGAAGGCAAGCGTTAGCGTCCAGAGGAAGCTGCAACCTGCACTCAGCAGCCCAAACCTCCCCCGCCCCCCACCCCCGCCTCGGCCTCCCTGTCCTCCAGCCACATCCCAACCTGGTCCACAGCAGAGGCACAGCCCCCGCCAGGAGCCTGCTCAAACCTCACCCCAGCTCCGCCCGCTTCTCACCTGGGCTTCCGCTCTCACTCCCGGACGAGGGGCTGAAGTCTGTGGACTGTAGCTAGAAAGGGCATGGGGGCATCAGAAGGAAACTGGGAGGCCCCCTCATCGTTCCCCTTCACTTGGAAGGTCTCCCACTGCCCGGGAATGCCCTCATGACCCAGGCCCTCGGAGGCCCCCAGGCACACGTGCCTCCCACGGTCTGCATCTCCCGGGTGGGACCTTACCCGGCTCAGGGTGGTTCGGCCATACGCAGGGAGAGAGGATGACTTAGATGTGCCAGGGTGCAAGGCTGGAGGAGGGAAGGAGGCCCAGGTCAGTCCCTTTGGCCCAGGCTGTCATTCCTGAGAGGGCAGGGCAGTGAAGGGCCAGCTGGGGGAAGCTGGTGGCTTCCAGCTCCTACCCATTCCCTTCAGCAAATGACACACACAGTGCTGGTGCTTCTTAGCTAGGCTAACTTCCCTCTCCTCTGGAGCTACAAGTGCTGCGGCAAACGCACATTTAGGCCAAATACCTGAGTGTGAAAATCTCTCTTCAGCCAAAGCTGAGGCTGAAGCTAAACAGCACCATCAGAGAGTGAACCCCCAGGACACATAAATAAATCTAAAACCTCATGAAAGTGATTTAAGTATGATCATTTACTAACATCAGTTGTCGCATTCTTGACGTTTGACATTCTAATACTAGCAACCGTTTCTCAGCACCTTGGCTGCTCCACTGCACCTGCAGTCCATGTGCTGCACATTAGCAGTGTAAGATGTTACCATCAGGACACCTGCAAGTACCGCAGTTTATAATTCAGGATGATTTGCTTTCAGTCGCGTGTTTTCCTGGGAAGAACGGGGTATTATCTAACGTCCTTAGCTTGGTCCGGCCTCTAGCATTCAGCATGCCTTCCTCTCCTATGATGTATTAGAAATTGTGAGCCAACCCCCACAGTAGGCTCACTACCATCGTGTCCTTTCTGACTCCTCTGAGCCTGTACGACTGGGTAGCTGTCCCTGGGATCTTCATTCCTGAGGCCGTAACTCTTTCCGGGAGTGGAAGGCCCTGCATAGTTTTCCTTCAGAGTGACTGGTGATTTCCAACTGCTGACCTTGCTGTTCGCAGCCCCAGGCATAATCACTATGCCACCAGGCTTCCTTACAAAATTGTGAACAGCAAGTTTGGGGGCGAGCATTGTTGTTTAAATGTGTAGCTTTCATAGGTTTAAAACTACAGTGAAATATCTTTTTTTAAATTAAAAGATCATTTTATTTGGGGCTCTTACAGCTCTTATAATAATCCATAATTCAACTGGATCAAGCATATTTGTATATATTTTACCATCATTATTTTTTAAACATTTACTTTTTATTTGAGCCCTTGGTATCAGCTGTTTGAACCCTCCCTCCCCCTCTCCCCCCATGACCTCTTGATAAATTATAAATTACTATTATCTTTATATCTTACACTGACCATTGTCTCCCTTCCCCCACAGCTTCTGTTGTTTGTCCCCTCCGTGTGGTTATGTGCCAATCATGCAATCGGTTCGAAATGTCTTTTGAAAGCATTGTTCTAGAGCAGTGGTTCTCAACCTTCCTCATGCCGCAACCCTTTCATACAGTTCCTCAGGTTGTGGTGACCCCCCCAACCATAAAATTATTTTTGTTGCTACTTCATCACTGTAATTTTGCTTCTGTTGTGAATCGGACGACTCCTGTGAAAGGGTCGTTCGACCCCCAAAGGGGTCGAGGCCCACAGGTTGAGAACCACTGTCCTAAAGTCTGTTGTTTGGGAGTTTGGAGAAAGCAACATGTATTTTGAGGACCTCATATTTTCCCCCCTAACATTTCTTGGTTTTGCATAGAAAATCACCAGTTTTCAATGGTCATTCATAATGGAAGCAGTTCACTCTTGTGACAATATACATTTATACTTCAGCGGGTAGACAGCATTTCAACTTGTAAGCATATAAGATTTTCACACCCACTTACTTCTAGATTGCTTAGTTATATTTGAAGGTGATTATCCCAACCTTGAGGAAAAGATGAGGCTTTCTACTCCTGTAAAGATCTAGTCTCAGAAACTTACTGGGACTGTTCTCCTCTCTCCTGCAGAATTGAATTGAGGGCAGTGCAATTCACCCCTCCCACTCCCCTCCTCACCCCTGCCCCTGGCCAAGATTCAACATTACCACGAAGTCAGAATGACAGTGGTTTAGATCTGATAATAACATGCAGTCATTTGGTAGTTGATCATGTTCAGGGATGTGTGCTAGTTACATAATCTGGTGTCAATTTTGGACTTGAGAGGATTAAGAGTGAAGGGGTGGAGTTTAGTTTGTTAATCAGGTCATAGCCAATGAGGCCTCTGTGTGGGCATGGCCTTCTCCTGAGAATTCTGGGAAATCTGGTGCTTCCTCCTTGGAGATGGGACACACCTCTCTCTCTCTGCTCACTCCCTGGGAGACATTGCAGCTGACAAGACACATGGACCTACACTAGTGCCCTGAGCTGGAGAAGCCACAAGGACCTACCCTGATGCAACCAGACCTCTGAAGCCAGAGAAGCCACTTGGAGACCCCTGCCAGTGCTGAGATGCTTACACCACCACTGGATCCAAAGACTTTCTACCCACTGGCCTGTGATCGTCCTGCATTTGGCATCATTGCATGTGTTTCATGAGTCTGAAGAGGACTTTATAGATTGGTATTGGATGTATGGGCTTGGACTGGACTGGGTTGGGATGCTTTTTTTCTTTTTCTTTTTTTAAATCATTTTATTGGGGGCTCATACATCTCTAATCACAATATATACATACATACATTGTATCAGTATTTACATCTTAAAGGACATTTTACATGGGGAGAGGCTGCAGTCTCTCTTCTCCGTTACTCTTTTACTCACCCCCACCCCTCTCGTTTTTTAAATACTTTTATGGGGGGTGCTTTCTTAATGTACAATTACCCTTTATATAAAATTCTCTCTTATACACATATGAGTTTCTATGGATTTGGTTCTCTAGTCTACCCGGACTGACACAGGATGTCAGAAGTGAGGCAGGCATTTGGCTGTTCGATTTCATAAGCCAAGAGGGAGTTAAAGAGCTAATTTGGGAGGAACCCTGAAACGGAATCCAATCTTTGGGGCATCTTCATTCTTCAGGTCTTAACTAGTCTATGTTCCCTTAAAACGGCTCTTTTAACAGGGACAAATTTAGGGCCATGGCTATGTGGCATAAACACACAATCATAATGCAACACACACACACAGAACAAAAGAGAAACAGATGCCTGGGACCTCCTAAAGCAATGGTTCTCAACCTTCCTCATGCCACGACCCTTTCATACGGTTCCTCATGTTGTGGGGACCCCCAACCATAAAATTATTTTCGTTGCTACTTCATCACTGTCATTTTGCTACTGTTATGAATCGGGCAACCCATGCGAAAGGGTCGTTCATAGTCATGTCTACGTGAATTGGGGAGGTGGGGGTGTTTCCGAGTGGAGACCCAGGGCCAATCTGTGAGCAATTGGATGTCCCCTTGTGGAAGGGTCACAGGGAGGAGATGGGCCAGTCAGGATGCAGTGTAGCACTGATGAAACATACAGCTTTCCCCTGATTCTTTAATTCTTCCTCCCCGCCCTCCCACTATCATAACCCTAATTCTACTTTACAAATCTGGCTAGACCAAAGCATGTACATGGGTACAGATAAGAGCTGGAAACACAGAGAATACAGGACAGATAAACCCCTCAGGACCAATATTGAGAGTAGCCATACCAGGAGGGCAAGGGGAAGGTTGGGGGGAGAGAGGGGGAACTGATCACAATGACCTACCTATAACAGATAAATGGATAAAGGGAGACATCGGTCAGTGCAAGACATGAAAAAATAATAGCAATTTATAAATTATCAAGGGTTCATGAGGGAGAGTGGGAGGGGAAGGAGGGGGAAAAAATGAGCTGATACCAAGGGCTCAAGTAGTAAGAAAATGTTTTGAAAACATTGATGGCAACAAATGTACAAATGTGCTTGACACAATGGGATGTATGTATGGATTGTGTTAAAAGTTGTACGAGAGGACCTAATGTCGGGGGTTTAAGTGGAGAGAAAATGTTTTGAGAATGATGTACAAATGCGCTTTACACAATTGATGTGTGTATGGATTGCGA